CCCTGAAAATAAGACATCCCCTGATAATAAGCCCAATTGTGCTTTTGAGCGCATGCACTAAAATAACCCATCCCCTGAAAATAAGCCCTCCCCCAAAATAAGCCCTCCCCAAAAATATTTAAATGCATGCGCAGCCAGTCCCTGCCATTTCCTCTGGTTAGGATTAGGGGGACAGAGCTGGAAATCAGGTAAGATGGCAAGAGAAGCCCAATCTTGCTCCACATGCCCCAAAATAATAAGACCTCCCCGAAAATAAGGCCAAGCGCTTATTTCAGGGTTCAAAAAAATATAAGACAGGGTCTTATTTTCAGGGAAACATGGTACTTCTTGTCACTTATATATTTTGGCTTTTCAATTTTTGACATTTTAAGTTTCACCGATTTTTCCTTTCCTGTTTCTTAGAGTAAAACTCTATTGTTTCTCATCATTCATACTGATTTTGCCAATGACATATCCAGTTCAACAGCCTGCTCCGTTCACCCAACAATTGACAATGAAATACTTGTTTGTCTCTAAGAGGTCTTAGAGATGTTTAAGGCAAGCTATCACTGAAGACTTAATCATGCATTAGTTTGTTTGATCTGCTTTTAAGTTAGGGCCTCTTACCACCACATGTAGTAGCAAATTACATAGTTTAATTGTACAAGATGTATGTCCTTTTGCCTGTCTTGAATTTCCCAATATTCAGCTTTATTGTAGAGCTTCAGGCTCTAATATATGAAAGAATAAGAAAAAAAAAAACCTTATCTGTTTTCTCCATGCAGTTCATAATTTTATGAGCATATACTTCCGCTGACTAATCTTTTTTTCCCCTAAACTTAAAAAGGCTCAGTTATTGTAACCTTATCTTGGAGTAGAGTTGATCCAACTCCCTATCAGTTCTTTACTTTTTCCAGTTCTACAATATACTTTTTGAGATGCAGCAATTGTTCCACAGAGTATTTCTAGTATGTCTACAACCTTCTTATAAAAAAATTAATAACTGAAAAAGTATAATACTGACAGTTTATTTTTTTATCTTTATCATCTTTTTGTTTTTTTCACAGTTGACTACCACAGGTTGCCATTTTCATTAAATTTACCTATCATGGCCCCAAGATCTGTAACTCATACACTGTCATTGGATTGATATAGTTATTTTTTCCATGAGCACCATTTTGTGTTTATATTAAAACATTTTCATGCTGTTGCTATTTATCCAGCTTTGAGAAAGCCCTTCTGGAGCACTTTGCAATCTGTTTATTTTTATTACTTTGCATAATTTGGTCTGATCAGCAAACATGACCATCTCACTACTCACAAATAACTTTAGATTAAGGGTGGCCAAGCCGTGTTTCTAACCATGTTGCTGAATTACAGTTTTCCATGTGTTTTGCCATTAGATATTGTGAAAGTTAAAGCTGAGCAACACCTGGAGGGGAAGAGGCTCCCTTCCTGCTTCACTTGTTAAAAACACACTAACTTCAGACAAATTCTTATCTCTACTTCCTGCTCATTAATTTCATGTCGTTTATTTATCTATAGATATTTATTAAGAAATAAAGCCCAGTGTACAATATTGCATAGATCTGTATCGGGGTGGGTTCTACTTACCTTTGCTACCGGTTTGCAATGGGATCATGCTGGCGCCCTCGCTTCGCTTGCGCATGGACCTTGCTTCTGCACATGCACAGAAGCTTCTGCGCATGCGAGATAGCTGATGACGACATCCGGGGCGGTGGGCGGGGCCTCCCGCCAGTTTTACTACTGGTTCTTGTGAACAGGTCTGAACCGGGGGCAACCCACCATTGATCTGTATTTAAGTTTTATTTGTAGACAACACAATAACTAGCAGTAGTGACATATTCATTGAAACAGTTACTGACAACAGAAGCATTTTCTCTGGATTTATATCCATACTGCTGGCTGATTCATAAAATATATCTGTTCTGCAATGGTAACCATACTTATTTTCATATAGTGATTGTCATCATTCCCAGCTAGCTCCCGTAATCCCTAGCCAGAAAGATACATGTACAAAAAACTATAATAGGTAAATGTTTCATCTATAAAAGGCAGCATTTTACTTTGTTACGTTTAAAGAAGTATATACAGAATTGCTCCCAAAGACTGAAAGCATCTGGGCCTAATGGGGCAAATAGACAGCATAGTCTACAATAGTTTATTTTTTTTCTGGATAAAATCAGTAATAGCCAGTGGGAAGAGATTTGGCATTTCATAATAGGAAAATGCTGGTGTCAGGATGCCCTCTGCATCCATGATTTTGTCCTTGAAGGTTGTTCCTTTTTCTTTTGCTTCCCAAATTGCTGCTGCTCAGTTGGAGCTGCTGTGCCTTCAAAACACATTACTTTGTTATGCTGTTACCCAAAGAAAAATAAAAGAAGGGAAGAGAGACCATAAGAATCCATTATACCATGTTCTCTGATATTAAATGGTTTTGTATAGTATTTTTCCATCCTCTGGCATGTACATCTTGCTGTTTGACAAGGGGAAAGTCTTAGATTGGTATTCAGGGACATCAATTCACCTCCAGCTGCCCTTATATTATCACGAAGGAACAGCCTTTCCACACAGCAGGTCAAAGGCATTTTTTAGAAAGACATGGAAGGAACAGCCTTTTCACACAGCAGGTCAAAGGCAGTTTTTAGAAAAGCATGGAAGAGGCCCACTGCCAGAAACAACATTGGATAAATATTCAGTGTTGGGTATTTGCATCCTTCCATAAGCTACTTAGGCTGCAATGTTCAAAAATCTATTTCTGAAACAGCTTCACAAAGCTTGCCTTTATTTTGAAACAATATTATTCGTGCATTGTTCAAAGTCTATGGAAAGACATATACAATGCAGAAATAGTAAGGCCTGTCTGCTTTATCTGTACTTACCTATCATATAGCCAGACTACTATTTGCACATTGAATGGCGTCAGTGTGTTTTTGATGTGTGTTGATAATCTATAGCTTCTCAGACTGATGCCCAGATTTTTTTTTTTTCATACACACCCATTTTGGTCTGGCATAGATAGAAGGTTACATGTTATTGCCAATTAACAGAGTTGAGGTTGTTCTCAGCATGGATTCAGTCTTGCTGCTTACTACAGCCAGATTTGCAGGCCATTCTGTGCCATGGTTTCTTTTCCCTATGGTATGCTATGTAAGTCACAAATTTTCTTGGATTAATGCAGTGTATGAGTTCAGGCTGTTTTACAATCTTGGAGTCCTCTTGGTTACCATCTTCTATATCAATGTTTGCCAACTTGCTACTCTCTGTGTCTGTTGGACCACAAATTCCATAATTTGATTCATGGCTACACTGATTTAAAGAGTTTCTTAGGGTAATTGGATAGATAATAGCTGGATAATACTAATTGGAAATTACAGGGAATACAGTTCAACATGTAGAATGCACCGGGTTGGAGAGGGTAGTTTTTGTAAATTTGTGTGTGTATTTTTGTATATGCAAAGACATACGTGAAGAGAAACTAATTCTAAGAGCTCATGATAAGGATGTAGGTGGAGACCGTTACCTTGCTGAACTAATTGGTTTTTCTGATGCAAATTACAGCCCTATTGCCACTAGTACCTCAAGTGCTATGATAGCAGTGGTCTGTAGATATTATAAAAATGAGACAGCTTGCTGTTGCATGATTTCCATTTATTTACTCTAAATATTTTCCCTCTTTTTTTCTTACAGACTTTTAATCATATTAGTCTGTTTCAGTGTCTGTTTTGAGCTTCGCTGGCTGTGCCACCACCTTCAGCTATGTACCATCTGCTGCTAGTCTCAATATCCACTGAATTATATGCACAGTGGGAAAGATGAGGGCAGTGTGCTAGGTTTCAACCACTGGATTGGGCATATGTGGGATTTCGCAGAATACTTTTCTGATTAAGGCTTGGGGGCACGCCATAAATATCCTGAGAAAATGAGAATCTCAATTTCAAAGGCTTCCGACCACATGGCATGCTCAGCTTGTAAAAGTGGAAGGATGTTCTGAAAAGCAAAAATCACAGAAATTAAATAACTGGCCAGGCACTCAAACACTCAAAACCTTGTGTTTCTATATCTACCGTATTTCTTTTTACATCCTCTGCACATTTGACCTTAACCGTCTGGATGTTGTAAATCCATCTTTACTGCCTTCTCTTTTATAATACTGCAGTTATACATTTTATTTATTTGTTTATTTCTTCAAATCTATGGCCACCTGTCTCAGTCAATGACTGGGTAGCTTATAATTCTGAAAAGATACGATTTTTTTAAAAAAAGAAAAATTAAAACAATAAAACAGTAAAAACAGTAAAAAACATTAAAAACATCCAATTCAACATAGTCAAGAACAAGGTATTTGAACATATGAATATCTTACTACTATACATGCAGGTACTGTATATGTATAGATATTGAGCTATAGGTAAATATAAATAGTATGTAGAGTCAGTGTAGTATAGTGATTAAGGTATTAGGAGAGGAGAGGAGAGGAATAGGTTATACTTGTGATTTCTTACATTAGACACAGAAGCTGGCTTGGTGGGCCAATCACTCTGTCCCAGAGAGTGGGAGACCTAGACTGAGAGGTCTAGGTCTCCCACTTCTATCTCCCACTTCTATCTTTCATACCTGCATTGATAGATTAATCTGCTATTGAAGGTAATTTCAGAGGAGAGTCCTTCATCCTGCAATGAATTAAGTTTGCCTAATGATTAAAATTAGATATAAAATCTGTGAGATATAGGTTGCTTTTTTCACAAGACACTGCAATGAGAGAAAGGCCCCTGCAAGGAATGCTAAGATATTAAACATATGAGGAAAAAAATTAAAAAACTGTCCATAGGCAATTGTTTGGTTTAAGAATTTTATTATAGATTGCTCATGATATTTCCTACTCTGAACATTTACTATATTCTATTCTTAGTGGTTTCCTTTCCTTTTCCAGAAGTATTTTGTAGAAGTTTGAATTTGTGGGTGCTCCAATTTCTTTCTTTGTTCATCTCTTTCAACAGATCTATGATGAGAAGAAGAATTTATTTGAAGTAAGAGACAACATCCCTGAAAAACTTGTGGAGAAAGTGGCAGGGGACATTGAGAGTCTCCTGGCCAAGAAAGTCCAAGCTTTAAAGGTAACATGGTTCCTGAGTTTCAATGAATCTGATGAAATGGGCAGGAGGCAAGCAATCAAATTGGTACCTATGATGATGTTCTGATATCCCCAGGAAATGGATTGATCCTTTATTGCAAGGTTTCACAGAATGTTTCTTAGAAATGGGTAATGTTAAACAAAGTGCTTGCACAGCTCTTCCAAATATTTTCTCCTTTGCATCTCACATATACAATTAAAGATTGTGTGAAATGTTTCTGGTAGCCCTTTCTTCTGTAAGCAGTCTGAACTCTCTCAGGCTCCAGCCTACTTTGGGCTCCTCAAATGAGCGGCCTTTTCTGCTCCTTTGGAAGCATATTTTGCAAAATGTGAATGTATAATGGGGAAATGAAGCTGAGAATAATAGCAATTGTCTGCAGTTAAATCTGGGCTTTCAAGTAGGTTTTCAACCTAACTTTTCATTTTATATAATTTCCTTCCAGTGCCAGAGTGGTTCAGCATGTTTAAAGCTCTAATATTAGATGGACCTGACTTTTCCTGTGACAACATTCAATATGTACATTTTCTGTTTTATCTTCTCTGCTTAGATATCACACTGAGGATTCTCAGTTAGTAAATCACTTTTATATGTGCATATTTTTACATAGTTTAATTGCCTCAACATTATCAGATATTAAATTGTTTGTTATTATGACCTGTTTATGATTTCCAAGAAACCTTGTGGCCATAGTAGTTCATGATGCCAAAGAATAGAATAGCAATAATAATATATATTAAAGCAATAATAATAAATATCAATTTTGGTAAACCCATATTTATTTCAAAGGCACGTCAACTTTTCAATCCATAAAACCGAAACTCTAAAGGAATAGCAAAACAGCGCATGGTAGTGACAGTTTCAGAATGTAGATTAAAATCAGTCAGATCCTTTAGAAAGATAAGCAAAAACAATACAATAAAGTGCATAAAGATTAAAGTACAATTATGCAAAACTGCAATCAGCTTCAGTCATCTTGGCAATTGGCATTTTCAAAGCTCAGCAGTAGTTCAGGTCGCATTACTCCCTCCTCTCTTTTAACTAGGTCAGTCTTTCTACATGCTACCTTCTTTCCCAAGTAATTTAAAGAGACAATTATATACAAATTTCCTTGAAGAATAAACTCTGTAAATCTCAGCTGGACTCAGTTTCTCAATATACATGCATGGGGGCAAGTCTTGGCTACTACTGGTACCTTCACACATCATCTGTATTCAAGGCCAAATGCTAAATTATGAGAGATGGAGAGATTATGCGCTACAATCTGATCCTGCCCCATCCCAGAATTAGGAGTAAAGTGTGATGCTTCAAATCTTGCAAACCCCAAGGCTGCAAGATTTGCACCAGGCACCCAGAATGAATGTGCATCCTACTCCTGTACATCTTTAGTGCACAACATTCTGCGGACCTTGATTGGTGGTTGTCTTAGCTGAAGTTTCCACATGAAAAGCCCCAGCATACAAAACAGTCTGCTTACTTTAATGTTTTCTTTTTTTTAATTTCCCACTTCATCAGTGACCAATTAAATTTGTTTTTAATATCCTTGAATCTGTGAATTGATTCTTTTACTTAATGACCACTGGGTGGGAACAGAAAGGTTAGAGCAGTGATGGCTAACCTTTTTTGCCATCGTGTGCCAGGAGAGGGGGGGCGCGTGCACGTGCCCACGCACATGTGTGTGCAACCCCCTCTCCCCTCCGCCCCCGCTCCTGGCACATGATGGCCTGGTAGGCCCGTTTTTCTTTCTTACCTGGTTCCAAATCCTCTCTGTGTATCTGGGAACGGTGAAAACAGCCTTTCCCACTCCCTTGGAGGCCATACAGAGGCTGAAAGGGCCCATTTCCCAACTCCCGGTGGGACAGGAAGTGACATTTTTTGCTGTCCCCAGCCTCCAGAACCTCTCTAGGAGTCTCTAGGAGCCTCTCTAGGAGTCTCTAGGAGCCTCTCTAGGAGTCTCTGGAGGCTGAGGACAGGAAAAAAGTCACTTCCTGTCCCACCGGGAGTGGGGAAATGGGCCCTTTCAGCCTCCTTAGGGCCTCCAAGGGAATGGGAAAGGCTGTTTTTGCCCTCCCCAGATGCACAGAGAGGATCTGGAGCCAGGTAAGAAAGAAAAACGGGCCTTCCCCCCCCCCAGGCCCTCCAGAGGCAGGAAACAGCCTGTTTCCCTACTTCTGGTGGGCCCAGAAGGCCCGAAAATCAGCTGGCCAGCACACGCATGCGCCCCAGAGCTGAGCTGGCGTGCCCACTAATATGGCTCTGCGTGCCACCTGTGGCACGCGTGCCACAGGTTCGCCATCACGGGGTTAGAGCATTGTGTCTTCTGGCTGCCACGTAGTGGTCATCCAGATTTTTGCTGAGATGCACATACTGAAAAACTGGAATTTGAGAAAGAGGGTCCACTGTGAGGATTAGTATGAGAATTATAAACTATCCCAAGAACATAATATGAAGAGAGAAGGCAAGGAACTTGTGCTTCCTTAGGAGCAGCAACTACTGGGAAGGGAATTCCTAATTACACAGGCAACAACACAAGCAAGTGCCAAACTTTTTCAATTACATTTCAACTACATGTGTTAAGTAAGTCATGCATAGGATGGGCATTGTCAAAGGTTTTATACTCTGTAGATCCAACAGCTGATCCATATATTTAAAAAGGAAAAGGAGCTGCAAAGTTCCAGATTCCCTTGAGGCCAAAAGAAGAGTATGGGTAAGTAAAGAAATCAGGGACCAGAGTGAAGAGACTGGATTCATAGGAAACCACTTGGAGTGAGAAGATTTCTGATGTGGCATATATTGTTTCTCTCCCTGAATGCATATTAATATGTTATACATTGGCTGCACATAGTCCCTTCTGGCAGGATATTAAGGAAAACATTATCTCAGAGCATGTTGCAGTACCTTAAAGTGTCCCTGGACCAACTCAGCTCAGACTTGGGGAACATTAGTAGACCATTCTCAGGCCAAGGAAAGAAAGATGTGTTGATGTTCTCCATATCAGTAGATTTGTCTCATAAATTGTACCCACATTTTTCTTTGTAGCCACGTTAACTTTTTAAGCACATTTCAAAGAAAGACAGTGTCCACTAAATTACTATTAATCCTAGCCAAACTTTTACTCATATGTATGCAATTTGCATAATAAATACAACATTGTATAACACCAGAACCAATTCCATCCCATCCATGCTGTTTGTTCTGCAGCATCTATCCTATGGTAAATAAAAGTTTAGTGCCCTCCCCCCTTTTCCTTGGATATTTTGAAATATGGGTTTCACCTCTTAGTCCTTCTCCAAATGGATCCTGGTCCCACCACTTTTGGAGTGTGGCCCTTGGCATGACTCACAAGGCTTGGCACATGACTTGAACTCTGCATATCTCTATCCCACCACGAATGTGGCATTTCCGATCCCCCAGTCCCCCACCCAGTTTTCTGCTCCATGTTGAAAAAGAAATCACAACTCACAACTTTTCTTTTATTGTGAATAAAAGGAAAAGTCCCTGGATGACTCAATTACAGTATAAAGAGGAAAAAATAAATGTGAGGTCTGCATATATACCCTATTGTAAATACAAAAGAAACCAAAACAAAAGCCAATGTCAATTATAGTGGGCAATCTGCTGTGTAGTCAAACAGAAGGATTTCTAATATAGCAGAATCAAGTGTTAACAGAAAGAACCATAGACTTACACTGTGACAGTACTGCATCTTTAAAGCAGTCGTATTCCATGCTGATGCCAGCTGACGTCTAAACTGCTTTAAGAAAATTCTGTCTGGTTTGAGGGCTTTGGCAGCAATTTGCCAGATGTTCAAACTAGATTGTCAGCTAGCATGCCCCTAGCTGGGCAACTCCCCAGTTACTATACCTTTCCAACTTTCCTTATAGGGAAACCAACTGCCAATCTCTTCTGCGGGCAAGTCTTACTGGATATATATATATCCAGTAAGTCTCCCAATGGGCAGCAGAGTGTTTGCTGGCTGCCAGAAAAAAAGCCTAGAAACTAGTGGATTGTGATTTCACTGAACTAGGGCTGCATAAAAATCTTGGTTTACATAGGAAGAACCTGGCTAAAGAGAAATACATATATATGTGTGTATATATATACACATACATACATACACTTTTACATCTATACTCACACAACAAAATATATGCATGCAAAGTTAAATTAGACTCCCACAGACAAAAGAACCTCTCAGCGGGAGAGTGGTTATAGCATTTGTTTAATGTGCAGAACATTATATCTTTGAAATCCAGCATAACTGTTTTAATTTATTTTTTTGTTTCTAAGATACTTGCAAGAAGGAGGGGAGGGGGAGGAGGGGGAGAGGGGGAGGGGGAGGAGGAGGCATCTTTTCATTTTGTTTTCCATGTACTTATGGTAATAAATTATAACTGCAGTACTTATTCATCCGGCTTATTTGAGAACTAGAATGAAAACTTTCTTAACAGCTTAAATGGTGTATCAGTGGACTTATTAAAAAAATTAAAACACAACAAATAAATAGGTAGCTATGCTGGGTTTTGAGCCCTCTATATATCAAGCAGGTGCCATGACCACTATGCTACTAAACACCGTGGTAATAGTAGCTGCAGCCAAGATTAGGCTGCTACAGAGTGATGACCACTGACCCAGATAAGAAGGTGTTCCTGTCTCTGCACCCTGCCAGTTCAGAGCACAGTGCTTGAAGAAAGCTTAGCAGGCAAACCAGAAAGCAACCTTGAATACTGAAAAACACTATTTTCATGTACATATGAATTGGGATAATGAGGATGAGTTAATGGAAATGAATGTGATGAGCATAATACCCATGACCCCAGTGCATTTCACTGCATTTCTTCTAGACAGCCTTACCTTTCCTCTCTGATATTCCTGTAAGAATTGGAGGATTAATTTACTGAAGGAAGTTTTATACTGAGTCAGCAGTGACTAAAATAGGAGATACATTCATGCTGATTTAAGATTTTATTTATCAAACTTGTATG